ATATTTAATGCCAATTGAAAAATTTTGATTTAATCATTAGTTTAATATTGAAATGTGAAATTATTAATATAGAGAAGGGTGGCTTTAACAGGAATACTACATTAGCTTAAAATTAATTAAATTTATTAATTATTAATATAGGTTAACTGTATTGTGTTACCATACATATATGATGGAAAGTCACTTCATACTTCAACAATATTTATTCATATCTATTTTTCAAATGCATTTCAAGTTAATAGTCTTCATTAGCTAAAACAGATAAGAAAATAAAGATTTAAAAATGTACATTTATACTTTTTATTAAAACTTAACATTAATAACACCAGATAAAAACTGGAACCATTATATTCTGATATATAAAAAAAAATGCTTAATTCTGGGAATCAAAGATTTTTTTGAAGAAATGTTCTTATTCTCATTGCAGATCATCATTAGTTTATATCTGTGTTCAAATAAAGAATGGCAGTTACAAATACATTGGATCAAACAAGGGTTCAAAATGAAATATGGATTGCTGTATTTCTGTTGAAAAGTTAATGTGTGTTAATAAATTAATAATAAAAGTTAATGATTATACCGAAAATAGATAATAAATATAAGAAACTTTTATGAATAATAGAGAAAAAATCAGTCCATAAGAAAAAATAACAATGGTTTACAATAGTTACACATGTAGAAAATATTGGTGAAACTAGAAGAAAATTAAAGATAAGATTAAGAAACAGCAGAAAAGAACAACAAGAAATAGCTATCATATTAAGTTACATTGTCACTAATTTTTTTAACATGTAAATTAGTTTGTGAAATAATCAGTCCATAAAGATATTAGTGAATGAAGATAATATTATTAAAAGAAAGTTGAAACAATTGAACTTTTTTGAATTTTTCTCTTTTCAATTTGGAAAAAGGATTGGAAGCTTGGGAGAGATATTTGAAAATATTTATTTGTTATTACATGTTAGGCTTCTTTAGCTAATGAGTTAATCATAACTTTTGATTAAAATGATACATTATGCAAAAATTTTTCCCATATAAACAAAGATACCACAGAAAGTTTTTGTAATAGTTTAATATGACAAAGTTTAATAATTGTAAGTAATTTGTCATATTGACAAAATAAAATTGAAAAAAATTAAATATTCTTGCATGTAGTAAAAATTTAATTTAAAAATTTGCATTTATGAAAAAACTATTTAAAGTTTTAATAGTTTTTCATATTGGGTAATTTTATAACAATTTAACTGTAAACAAATATTTTGCATAATTAACTTAATCATATATTAAAAAAAATTTTTAAATAATTTTTTTAAGCTTTTATTGTCATGTTTGAAGCATTGCAACTGTAAATTATAATAAAATACAATACAATAAATGTTTATAACAAGTTTTATTTCAAGAATATTTTGACTTATCTTATGCATATATTAATTAATACAGAAGATAAACAATGTAAAATTATTTGAGATAATATATAAATATAAATGTTTCTATAAAAATTGCTTGACATTATTTTAATAAATGAATGTAGCAATCATTATTAAATATGTAACAGCTTATTTTATATAAAATTTTTTATTAATAAATAAAATTAATTTTTATAAAATATAAGGTAGATTCAGTAAATAAGACAATAAACCAGCTTTATAGTGTAAGGATTTATTCAAATAAAATTATTATTATCTGTAATATTACATAGACAGTTCAAATACACGGCTTGAACTAGCATATCTTTTAACATAATATTTCCTTGTTCAGAACTTTATTAAATATGACTGAGCATCAAACCCAGTATAAAAGAAATTGCTGTTAAGTTCATTTTGCACTAGGAATTTAGTGCTTCCTATACTTGGTCGTTAATTTACCCTTTCAAATGTTTTGCAATGAACAAATAAATCTTATTGTGAGATCAGTAGTATGAGGTGGGTGGTTTAGTATTTCTCATCTGAAGCACATTAAATCTTTAGACATGCAGTCGATTCTGTGCAGAATATTGTGGAGCACACTAGTAATTACTGTGATTCTCTAGCTGAAAAAAATCATCAAGATTATTTTTTTTTATAGTTTTATAAGTTTAAGACTGTTACCTAGATCTTTGCTGATGGAGTTATTTTAAGTTTTTGTGAGACAAAATGAAAGATGTTTTTTGTATCATGGATGATAATCTTAAATTATGGTGTCACATGATGCACTTATGTTTCATATCTATAAGTTATGCAATGCAGAAAATACATGTTTTTTTGTCATAATATCATATACATGAGACAAAATTCCATTCTTGTGAATTTAAGTTCAGGATATTGAAAAAATACTGTGTAGAGTTGTTTCAGTATCCATATACAAAAATCTTGAAACCTGAACAGTGGTACCTCAGGATACAAAATTAATCCGTTCCGAAACTGAGATCATATCATGAAAATGTTGTAAGGTGAATCATTTTTCCCCCATACGATTACATGTATTTCCCCCATACGATTACATGTAAAACCAAATAATTTGTTCCAACACAAAAAACACACTCAAATTAAAGCTAAGTAGTACATAAAAAAAATAACTATAGTAAGGAAAACACTGAAAAATGCATTTTGTAGTTGTAAATGTATAAATAAACAAAATAGAATAATAATTGTTTAAAAAAATGTAGTTTTATTTGCACTTTACCTTTGAGGATAGACGACATTGGAGGTGTAAACTGGTGGCGGAAGAGAGGGAGAAGGGAAGTGATACTAAAACTTATTGTTATATTATGTTATGTAAGTTAACTTAAAAATAACTTAGAAAAGATAAAAAATTAGTATTGTTTTATATATATATATTTTTTAGAAGTCACTTAGAAGTCATATATTTTAGAAATATATATATATATACGGGAAAGGTCGACTGGAGATGGTTTATCCGACACCATCTTTTCGACCCTGATTGCGCTTAATTGTTGACTATGACACCTACGCTCATTTTGATATTTTTTCTAGTTT